TTTTCTTGAAAAGGGGCTCAAAGAATTCTTCTAAGGGATTATCTGAGATGGGAATCACAGGGGAACTAGTTAGAAGTGCGTTCTCGAAAAGCCGGTCTGTGCGAATGCGAGAGAGCCATGTAAGTTAGTTGCATTCAAGGTGTTTTATAATTTTACTCACAGAATGCTGATAGTATATTGTACATATGCTTGGATTTGTTTTGATTTGGTTTGGAAATAGTAACTAAAGTTTGAGAGAATTTATTGTAATCAGGCGAGGAGTTATGCTGTGGAAAAGAAAAGATGGAGTTCAGTAAGATCATACCTTTGCGGGGATGAGTTTAGTTCGATAGTTGCAGAGGATGATTTATCGAGCTCCAAACCTGCAATTGATGAAGGAGAATTTACTTCAGTTTATGCAGAGGCGGATACGGCTTCTATTAGAAGCTCTGAGGCCACTGTTAATCAACCATTGGCGGGAGATTTCAAGGACAAAGCTGATGCTGAAAGCAATGAGGTGAAGAATGGAAGTCCAAAGGAAAAGCAAAACTCAACTTACAAACTTTTTCAGCAAGAAGATGCTGCAATGATCATTCAGTCGGCATTTAGAAGATTTCTGGTCTATACACTCACCAATATATGCATCAACTTTATGTGGAGATTTAAGCGTAAATAATCATTATAGTATCGTAATATATGCAAATGTTTGATGATACTTGTACAAGAAAATGAATGTGCGCACATACTTGGAAAGACAATTAAACAAGAACTTAGAGAATGCTGATCTCCATGGATAAATGTTGTTTCTTTAAGCGAAGTATTTTCTGGATACTCCATTTGAGTTGTTTGAGTTATTAAAATTTCAGGCCCAACGAGCTAATGAAGGAATGAATTTGCAAGATTGCAAGGCAGATCCTGTAGGAAGTCCAAGTAGGGAGTCTATGGGCACATCAATTGAAGTTCAAACTGGAAATTCGGACACTTTCTCATTCCAAGAAGAAAGAATTGACGTGCACCATCCAGTGCAACATAGAAGTAGATCCCAGGTGCTCAAGCTACAGGTAAAACAACTGGAATTTCAAAATGTAAAATCCCCCTATCCGTTTTCTGGGGCTATTCCTTAGCTCATCATATGCAATGCTAAGATATAATACCCCAGAAGGGTCGTACCATTGGACAATAAGATAATTGCAGGAACATACTAAATGGCTAACAGAATCAGCTTATCTCTTATAACAGTATCTCGTGAATCTGATCCAACCAGTGACAGGGAAAATATAGGGAAAGAACTACTGTAGATTAAGGCAATCTGGAAATTTGATACTGTTTTTCTTGTGCAAGGTGTGAACTTCCCCTGATAATGCAGTTGATAACATCTAGGACTTGTTTGCTAAGTTCGATCTTACTGTATTGGACAGTATTAATGAAGTAAAAGAAACTAACATATTGTCTATTCTATTGTCTAGTCTCGTCGAGTACTACACATCGAACATACCTCTAACGTCATTTTTTTTCAGCAGCGAAGTTTTTGAACCAAAAGTATTGACCTAAACAAATTTTAAATTCTACTGTCAACTTTTCCAGGAAGATTGGGATGATAGCACTGTAAGTAGTGTCATATCAAAAATGAGAACTCAAAACAAGCTGGAAGCAGCAACAAGGCGTGAGAGAGCTCTGGCTTATGCTTTTTCACAACAGGTATAGACAAAGCACTTTAAATTGGATGTATTGGAGAATAAAATGTGCACTGATTTTGTTTTTGCCTAATTTGTATCTAGTTAAGAATCTGCTCGAAGAAAAAACAAATCAAATCCAACAATAACGAAACTGGCGTGGGCTGGAGCTGGCTAGAACGATGGATGGCAACCCGTCTGCCAGAAAATACCATGATGGAAGACCAAATGTACAAGCAAATTGAGGCAGTTAGTAGTCACCAAACAACTGGGATTAGGAAGAGATTGCTGGATGTAGCAATGGAAGAGAAGGAGAGTTGTGGATCTAACGAGGTATCTCTACGCATTGAAATCAGATCTGTAGCTGCGCCCAAGGAAGTCCCAATGCCTACCAAGAATAGAAATAAGGCAACAAGGAATAACTCCAAACGAGATGCATCATCTAGCTACCTCTGCCCAAGAACAAAGGTACACAATTCAGCTAAAGCAAAAATTGTCCAAAGAAACAAATTAAATTAGATGTTAACCAGTTTTAAACCAAAATGGAAAAAGAACGACAACGCAAGTTTTATTCTCAATAAATTAAATTTGTAGTCCTATTACATAAGCAAACGCATTGATAATAACCAACAATAACAGAGAGAATACTGCATTAGAATACTAAATTAGAACCTCCATCTTTGTCATTATCAGAAATTAGCAATACATGCCCACATTACTTCTTAGTAATTTTCTTTTTTGTTAGTCTATTTACTCGTTTCTCATGATGTGGCGAATATATGTACTACATAATTGTAACAGGATAGCAAGAAAGTATGTCAAATAGAGGATGGAAAAGATAAGACGAAAATGCCAAAGCAGGCACGAAATAAAAGAGAGATGAAAATCACAGATTCTACATCTCAAGTATCACCAGAGATTGAATAATTTTCGCAATTTGGGACTTCAAATCTGGCCTACTTAGTTTGTTTTAAATAAATTGTGTAAATGTGTAATGTACTGTGTAGAGTGTAGTGTCATTGGCAACTTTGAGATCCCCTTGTATATTTCATTTCACGACTTTGAACATCTATGTTGTAGTTAGCAGAAATCATCATGCATAAATTATAATAAAATAAATCAAGCTTGATTTTTTTTAAATGGACAACCAACAATATTTATTGTAAAGGACAAGGGAATATTGCACCATTAGTCGACTTGTGACCTTGTAGCAAACTTGGTCCTTCAACTTTTTTTTTTTTTATTGGCCAGTATGTTCCCGACATTTTAGTTTTTGTGGTTCGTTGGCTTTCAACAGATGTCATTGTCTATTTGGTTGTCAACAATGAACTTATGAGGATAAGATGAATAAACATTTAAATTTTAAAAAAATAAAAAATAATAAAAAAAGAGAGAGAAAAAACAAACACACTGTTTGCTTTCTTCTTCATCTTTTTTGTTGAAACCACCACGAGATAAAAAATATGTATTATAATTGAAAGGAAATAATAGAAATTACAAACTTAAGAGTAGACGTACAATGCAACCTACTCCAATCAATGGAAGTTAATGATTGGACTTTAAAACATATTAACTTCCAATTGCAAAAAGATTGGACTTTAAAAAATATTTCAAGAGTGAACTTTAAATTCGCTCTTTCTAGCATTTGGAAGGAAGGAAAGGTTGTGCATCAATTTTGATTAGAGACCGTTGTTAATTATTATGTGATGTATGAAGGTGGAACAGCGTATGTTCTAACTTCCAATTGTTGAAAGACTGCACTTTCAAAATATTTCAAGTTAACTTTAAATTTACTCTTCCAGCATTTTGAAGGAAGGAAATGTTATGCGTCAATTTTGATTAGAGACGGTCGTGAATTATGATATATGAAGGTGGAGCAACGTATGCTCTAACTTTCAATTGTTGAAAGATTGGACTTTAAAAAATAATATGGGATCGCTCAAACTTCTTAAAGGGGGTTGTCCGTATGGGCTGGTTCGTCCCCCTCAGTGTACTGAGCTTAATTGAAATTGTTACGAAAGTTGTAAACTTAATTTTAATTGAAGTTCCTGAACCATGCATATAAATAAATATAAATTAATTGGATTTGTACTTTATTTAAAACTCCTACTTGAATGTAGAATTATTATTGTATATGGATTGAAACTATTTTGTCTCTATAAATAGAGACTAGATAGAACCAATTGAACAAGACAAAGTTTAATACAATAATTTCATAGTGTTCAGATTTGGAGAGACAAAAAAAGAGAGAATTTATTTTTCTTACTTTATACACATGTCCAGTCAAAAAAATTAGTTTCTTGATTTAGTTAAAATGAGGTGCCCACTCACTAGTGTAGTATTGACTTTGAAGAATACCACAGAAAATTTGAAAGTTTGAAGTATCAAGTTCTTGAAATGAAAAACTGAAAATTTGTGATTTGGAATTAATTCATGAAGTAATCATCAAATTTAGGTAAAAATTCAAATCATTTATTCTTGATATATTATATACGTGAACATCTAGACGATCTTATTTCTTAAATTTTTATTTTTTATTTTTAATTTTCGGGTAATTCTACTTCCACATTCCAACAACCTCAATGTTAGTTTAGATACATTATATGAAAATGAACAGAAACAAAAGGCTTTTTTGCACTCGATTGTGGGATTTTTTTTCACAAGTTCAAGAATTTTGCATTTGAACGAACACAAGTTTCTTTGATGAACCGTGATCAACCATTCTACTAGTTACAAATAAATTTGGTGGATGTCATTCCCAAATTGACTCTAGACACCAAAATATTGTTCACTAGCAATATAATGTAGTTACGATATTAAATATTTCAATATACATATTATTAATAATTCCAGTACAAGTGATAAACAGTGATTAGAACCTAGAGCCTATTTGAATCTCAATTTATTTTAAGAATGTATTTTGGAAAAGTAGATTGAAAGAAAATTTGTGGTTAAAAAATAAGGAAGGATTTTTGGTTGACGTATAATATTATTTTATTGAAAAAATGTGTGATTGAAAAGAAGAGGAAAAAAATATATTTTAAAAATAACTGGAGTTAAACAAGAGCCTTATATATAATTCGTGTGATTACCTTAATCCTTCTATCCCACCAATCTAACTTTTTTCTGTGGATAGAATTGATTTCAAGGACTAATGGAGTAAATAATATAAAATTAAGGACTACATATAGATATTTTAAAAGTTAAAAGACAATTGGTGAGTACGTCTACAAGTTAGGGAACCAAGCTACCAACCTTATCTTTCCTATGCATTTATAATTTATTAAACAAGTGAGATAATATCTTTATTAGGATTTTATTTTTCCATTATTTTGTTTGGCTAAGTATGACAAAACTATAAGTAATTTGCAAGTAATTTATTGTTTCTATAATATTTGAATTACTTACTTTTTTACGGTAAAGTAATTCAAAACATAATTTTTATTATTTTTAATGCAATAGTAAGTTATCTGGAGATACAAAAAAGCATAAATGACTCCATTCAAAGGGGTTCAGCCTCTTAGACATGATACTTAAAAGGCTAAATGATATATAAATGGAGAGATGATCAAGTTTGAAGGCTTGAAGAAAGAGGCGACGATGACACTGNGGGGTTCAGCCTCTTAGACATGATACTTAAAAGGCTAAATGATAAATAAATGGAGAGATGACACTGTTTGATGGCTCGAAGAAATAGGCGACGATGACACTGTAGAGGTGGCGACAGGAGAATATAACAAACATAAAGACAATTGAGTGTCATCAAAGTGGACTTTCAGAAAGCCTATGATTCTAACAATTGGAACTTCATATTGGATACTATACATTACTTTCATTTTCCTTCAAGCGTCATCCAAAGAATCAGAACATGTATCACCACTCCTTTCTCTATTTCCATAAATGGGGAGCTGAATGGCTTCAGGAGCCAAACCAAAGGGCTTAGGCAGGCTGCTGCTTCAGATTGTCTCCCCCACTTGTTTGTCATTGGTAATAATTGGCTAAGATTCTGCCTGCTGCAATACAATGATGTAACAATAATGAGATACTGCCTAGAAAGTCAGTAGCATTTTTAATGGAAAAATCTCCGCGTAAGGGTGAATACAAAGGAACAGGTGTCCCAGCGTAATTGGCTAACTACATGAGCGAA